TTTAGGTAGTTGGCGCTTGTCAACAGGACAAAATCCTTCTAGCGTGCAAAAGCTCTACATGAAGTTTGGGATTGACATTGCAGCGAAGCTTCTTATTTATTTATTTAATTTTCTTTTTCTGGGAAATGATATTGTTAGATTTCAGGTTGATTGGAGATCCGAAGAATTATTCTGTATGCAACTCAGTTGAAATTGTATGATGTATAATTAGTGTTGTTACATTCAAATTATGGGAAACTTGGTATTGGATAAACAGGCGTAAGCAATCCTCTCATTTTCTTTATGAACTGTTTCTTTAACTATTAGTACAAGGAGTAAGTTCATTCTCCAATGGCTTTGATTTTACCTTTCCATTTTTATAAATTGATTTTACGTGTCTTTGCTTTATAGAATTTTCTAAGAAACAGATGTCCCAAACTGACGGAGCTGATGAATTTTCTTATTATTTTGGAGTGGTGATTTCCCCACTCATTTTTCTCCTATTTTATCCACTTACACTCCTTTTTTATAACTAAAAAGGGAGTGTAAGTGGATAAAATAGGAGTGGGGAAATCATTGCCCTTATTTTGTTATAAGTAATGTAAGAGGAAGGATTAAGTATAACTCTTGCTTTCCGGAAATGCTATATGAAACTAATACTTTTTGGAAAATGCTAGGTTTACCACGTTTTTATATCACGTTGTGTACCACCTTTCTAATAGAGCTCCATTATAAAGGTAGTACACAATGTGGTATATAAATGTGGTAAGCCTAGCATTGTCAATTATATCTTTGAGAAACAAAAAGTTAGGTTTGTTTTTTGTGTGTGTATTTATGCACTTAACATTTAAAACTACCGGGCCTTAGATAATTTGATACCATCCATGATTAGATTGAGCTTACTTATTTTATCACGTTATATTTTTCAGTTTTGATATGGGCCGATCATCTGCACATGTTCTTAAATTACTTGTCATTTTGAATTCTGCAGAAACGGGTACAGAGCCTGCTTTGCTGTTGGTAGATATAATATTCAAAACATTGTACATTTACAAGGAAAGCTGTTGATGACATCATTCCAAAAGGTTTACAATGAAAAGTTTTGCAGCAGCCCTTGTTCAGGTCATTCAAGTGAGGGTGCAATCACATGTTGGCTGCTACAGACTTCTCCAGCGGTCATAGGATATAATTGGGCTTGCTGACTTGCTGCCTTTTTAAATATATTCGAATACACCATTTTTTAAAATAAAATTAATTTTTTTAGTTTAATATCAATATCTTAGCCTTATTTAATTACTTTAATTACTAACTATAGTTTCAATATATATAGTAATTAAATATTTTAAATTATTTTGTGGACTTCAAAAAAAAAGTTCGTGCAAATTAATTTGTTTAGTTTAATATTTGTAATTTAGCAATATCTTAACCTTATTTAAATACTTTAATTAGTAATTAGTTTTTAGTTATTATTTCTTTAGTGAATAATTAGTATTTAAATATTTTAATTAATTTCATAAATTACTTAATAGTATTTAATTTTTTTAAAATTATTTTATGGACTTGAAAACTATTTTTAATTTCCAACAGTATTTTTAAAATAGTTTCTATTATTTAAAAATCCTAGGAAATTCTTTTAGGTACCCAAAAATATTGTAAAAACTATTTTAGTATTCCAAAAATTGATTTTAGCCTCGAAACCTCAAATTCAAGTCTTGAACCAAAAACACTAACTTCCAAACTTGTTCTAAAACCATTCTCAAGCCTTGAACCATAATCATAAGCTTACTCTATGACACTTATAACTCAATTACGCTTGAATACTCACGTAACTCTAGTGTTTTAGGTTGGATACTCAGCGTGCTATATCCCTCATCGCAAGTCTGCAACTTTTGGATTTTGTTGAAATGAAAATGGGACGAGCTCTCGGGTTTAATCACGGGTTTTGATGATTTTTTACAGCCCACTTGGATGGCGACAAAACGCGTTAACGGACCGTGTGGCCATTCTCCTAGTCCGACGGACTAGGAACCCATGTTTCCATAAAAGCCCATCCAATTAAATGAGCCCAAAAGAAATAGAGTTCAAAGTAAAATTGAATTAGGTCGAGGGCATTATTGGTATAACAAATATGCCGGTCTATATAACGCCACGATGTTATTGCATATGTACTCGAGGATCTATTGCCGTCAAAAGACCTCCAAGCTGGAGAACCGAAAAACTCTGTGCTAGGGTTTTGCGAAAGTTCCGATCTAGTTAAGCGATTAGGTTGTGTGGAAATTTTTTTTTGTTAATTGAAAGATGGCTCGGGCCTTGAAGTACACTTTTAGCGATTATGCGAGGAGCGCAGTGAGTAGGGAGGCCTTGCTCGAACCGACTAAGGTTTGTTGAGCAATTTGGTTGTGCTTTTTCTGGGCCTGTCCCCCTTCTCTTTCTGCGACATGTAATCACTGTAATATATGCCTGTCCTTGTATTCTAGCATTGTCTGTCAGTTTTTTTAAAACGGTGGGTCTTGTGGGCATTCAAGAATGGCCTATTTTTATGATTCTTGCTTATCATGTAGGGATGGGGTTGATGGTTTTCCTGTAGAAACTAGTTTGAAATTATTTTTCGTGATAAATCCCGATTTGTTCTTGGAAAATATAGACAAATCTGAGTTTTTCAAGGGAAAAATTGTAGGTAATTCTAAGTTTTTTTTGGGGCAAATCTTGAACAAATTTTGAGTTTTTCTTCGTATATATTAATATATCTCGATACCCTTTTTGGTTTTTTGGTAATTGAGATAGATCGTGAGTTTCTTTTTGCCATGTACTGACAAAAGAACTTGTGTTTTTTCTGGAAAAAAAAATTGTACGTTTGAACATATATGTTACATAATTACTAATGCGAATCTTAGGGTGTTTTAAATTTTTACCAGATTAATATCACAACCCAAAACTACATTATATGTCCATCGTTGAGTGTGGTCGTTGGAGTAAAGTTTGATCTTGGAAGGGTCAAGAACTCATAAGTTGATTTAGAATTGTGGTTTTCATGGACAAGAAATGAAAATTAGGTTATGGACCTTGTAATGGGTTATCACCGTTTCTATCTTGATTAGAAGCTGAATTTGTGGGGTTAACTGTGGTGTCATCAGGTTGGTGTGAATTTTGGTTTATCTCAGTAGTTTACAGGTGTAGGTTTTACCAATTTCTTTCAGATCTCATAAGTTCAGGACTTCATAGAATTTGACGTTAAACTTAGGCTGTTGTAATTTGTAAGTGAGTGGCTTACCACTTAGTCGTCATCTGGTTAAGTATCTCGCCACTGTCTAGTAAAACTGTACTAACTTAAAATTTAGTAATGGATCAAATGTTGGTCGTTTCTTTGATCTTATTTTCTGTGTCCCAACTCTTCCAAATAATGAGTCCGTGTAACGTCAGCAGTTTCTCTACTTCTGTGCTTTAGTCATGTTTTACTGGTCTGCTCTACCAATCTTATTGAATTTATTCTGGTGCTTCAAAAGCCCCAGAGAGAGATGGAGAAAAATGGCAAGAGTCAGAGGAAGAAAGAGAGAAGGGAGATAAAGGGACAAGGGCGTAAAGAGAAGGATACTCTTCACAATGTCAAAAGCCTTGATGATAAAAAGTGTTTCCAGCAAAAGAAGGGTAAAAAAGGGGAAGCAAAGGGATGGTGTCCTCAAAAAATTGAACATGAAGCTGATCAACTGGAGAGAAGTGACATTACAAACGAACATGGGCTGCCAACCTGTATTGAGAGCAATTCCTACTTGTCTGATGGAACCCAAAGCAGCAAGAAAAGCAAGCCTTTGATCATTCGCATTAAATTGCTTAAGCACAGCGAACGAGACGCCTCACTTGTGTGCTCTCCTTCTGGAAGGGTAGATTTGCTTCCTCCAGAGAGAACGGAAGTTGTTCTTTTACCCAGTCAACCCAGTGCAGAGACAAATGTAGAACTCAGGCAGGTCTCTTCAAAACCTGACCAAGATTTACCCTGTTCAACATCAGAGGGGATCGAAACAATTGGTCAGAAGAGAAGTGCGAGTGCTGCATTTGAAGATCAGATTCAGAGTGAAGATTCACTCCATGCAACTCTGATTGAGAATTGGATCCCTCCCCCGATTCAATTTGCCGATGTTGGTGATGGTGATGAAGAATGGCTCTTTGGGACGAAGCATCAAAACAGATGTGGGTCCAAAAGATTTAAAGCTGCTAACAATGAGGTCTCCAGTTGTACAAGGAGCGCGCCGTGGCCACAAGCACAGTGGTTGTTGGAGGCTGGTGTATATGCATTACCCTTCACGGTTCCATTCTAGTTTCTCGTCCATTTCAAATGCGTGCCTTGAGAATTGCATATGCTGCTCAACAGATGGCCAGCGTAACTCGGGGTAGCAGTGCCCCAGTCACGCTCTTTGTTGAGATACTGAACAAGTCAGTTGTTTTTTACTGGGCCTGATTGAAGTCTTTCATTCTATGTTGCTACCGTGTTGTATAAACTAAGGTTGATTCATGATTTTTGCATCAGGTACCTCTACTTGTCTGAGAAAGGAAACCCCCGGATTACAAGTGCTGCAATCCTTGGATTGGTGGATTAAAACTCAGATGCAAAGCGACTCTACAAATGTGAGTCCAGCCCCAGATGCATTTTTCAGCAGCACATTGCAGTACATACAGTTCCAGAAACAGAAAGGTGGGGTAATGGACGAGAAATATGCCCCTATCAAGGTCTGACTTTGGGTTAAAGAGATTGTCATATTTGAGGACATTAAAGTTTGGGGTTGAGAGGAAGAACGATGAGGAGAGCCGACGTGTGAGCATAGTCTATGAAAAATGCCCCTGAATACTAA